TAATTCCACTGGTATGGTGAAAAATACTTGATGTTCAGTACTGCCGTGCTCAGGAAGAACGCCGTATGAACATTTGAGAGTTGCCAAATTTCCTCCGATAAAAGTATCATTTTTTAGGAAAGTTATGAATATTTTCTCTCGAAATTCGCAGATGATTTAGATCTGGCTGGGAATGAAATTATCTGAAAAATTGGAGTGAGAATATTCACAAATTCGTCTGCAAATTCGTCTTTGATCAGAGGAAATTTGGCAACGCCGGAAGGTTCATATGGCGTTTTTTCTCAGCACGGCAGAGTAGTACGTTGACGTTCTTAAAAAAGAGCGACATTCAAATGGATGTATTTCTGCCAAATAGAACTATGTGCATTCAGACATGAGCCCTAAGACCCATGAGGATATGTGCATAACAGGGCTCACGTCATAATGCACATAGTTCCGTTTGGCAGAAATACGTCCAAATGAAATTCATCAAGGAAAAAAGTGAGACGGAACCTTTCGTGGGTAATGCTATGTGCTCTCTCATGCCGAGTCCCTTTGCAAATAAATCCGTGCGCCCTAGGGTTGCGCTACCCCACGGCAATGAATCGAACTATTTACTCATCCCTCTTGACTTTAAAGGAGCAGAGCGCTCTGGTGGAGGGAGCGGAAACTAACACCAACCCGGCCACATTCATCAATATTTAATGAGATTCACAAAGCTCTTCCCGCTACGTTTCACACGTGGCGGAAACTTTTTTTACGGGCCCGCGGTAACTAACTCCGCAAATCACAGTCTAGGAAGTTTCGCGATCTGGTTGTTTGTTCGAGAGTTATTTTTAAATTAAAGGTCGAGCGCTGAGATAAACTAATTCTTAGTAAGTTTTGATGATGCCCTATTAATTGCTTAATTTGTCGTCTTCCTCATAAAAGCACGTAACAACATTTCAGTGTTGCCAAATTTCACCGAGCATATTGCATTTTTACCGTGAGAATATTGGGCATTTCTAACAGAAAAGTTCACGGATTTTTCCCCTGAATTCATGCAACATCAAACAAATTAAAGGAACAAATTACAAAATACATTCACGAAAAAATGGAATTGTTCGAGTCAATTTTGCAACCTTGGAATATAGTTACTTTTCATTGTCCGAAGAACGGAGGATTGTACGTACATAGAATACAACTGATATTTTTTTAAAGTTGGTCTATTACATAGAACCTTTTTGGAAACAATTGGACTACATTTTGCAATTAGGAATTACAGTTTCAGGCTCATCAATAAAATTACATTCTCGCATAGGGAAACGTACGGCACATATGCTAATCCTAACATGAGCCACAAATTGTAGTTCCTAATTTCAAAATGCAGTCCGATGCCTCTGCAAGTTAATTTAAGATTACTAAACCAATAATTGTTCGAATCCCTGGGCATGAGCCCATTGAGCCCCCATTAGCCGAATCTGACCGGTGACTTCTACGTATAACTTTTACGTATAACTTTTTCATACTATGGAGAAGTAGCAATGCGGGGTTTCTGAAATATTCTTTCCCTGGATCGAGATGACAATACTTCTTCACTGAAAAAAAATTATCGGCGAAATATCAAGGTCCGTTGGTACTTTTAACATCTCACTTTTTTTTACCAATTATTGGTAATTTTACCAAGACAGACTAGTAAGCTTATCTAAAATCCGGTATTTTTACTGTTTTTTTTTACAGGTAAGAATACCACTTTTATTGGTAATCAATTCCCGGTAACTTTGCCATTTTATTTCGGTAATTTTACCACAGTCGATAAAAAATATTGGCGTTTTTACCAAGGTCCAGTAAAATTACCGAGACAGTTCAATAATTTTACCGAGATTTCTCGGTAAAATTACCAATTCCATGAATGGTAATTTTACCAAGAAAAAACTGGGATCAAATAGAACCTGAATTCGTGGTAATTTTACCCTTACCTCAGTAAATACACCGAGATTTTTTTTTTCAGTGTTGTTTATAGGTATTCTGTAGCCATCGGGTACAAAACTGACGTCCATGACGAGATCGCAGCAAAATAATCACGAATATTACATTCCTTCTTGAGAACGAAATGTCGCTCCTATCTGACGTAAATGCGTACAAATCTCTATTTCCACGGAAGCCCTGTTCTCGGTATAACTACATGTGTTCCGGGGCTCATATCGGAATAGAGATACGCATTTACGTCATAGAGAAAAAAAAGGAGGTGTTTGCATTCCGGGCATCTTGGAATTTTTTGATGATTTGATGACGTAGGTCGATACAGCGACGTCCCCTTCACGCTAAACGTCGCTGTACCGACCTACGTCATCAAATCATCAAAAATTTCCAAGATGCTCGAAATGCAAACACCTCCTTTTTTTCCCTATGCATTTACGTCGGAGGGACGACAAAAATACTTCTTTGTTTGCAAAGCCGATTTTTTTAGGGGTGCATTTCCGGTGTATTTCCCGAGGAAAATGCACTATTGTTTTCTGAAAACGTTCTCAATAGAATAATACAGCTACAATCAAAATATAAGGCAGCTGCATCTGCCGCGTATGCTGGTTCCCTGATAAAAATGTTATGGTAGAGAAAACTTCTAGACAAATCGGACCGCGTTAAGCAGAAAGAACCAAGTCACATCAGCTATTGTCAAATTTAATTGAGCAATTCAATGTTTTACATGAAAACGGTTTTGCAGATTTTTGTTCAAATTTTCAGAGAATTTTCAGCGTAGTGAGAAGCAAATTGAGGGGTTGGGTACAAAAAGAGAATTTCTTGGTTTCGGTGTTTCAGAATCTCCAGTGCTAATTTGACCTTTAGAGAGAAAATTGTTGGGTGAATTTTCGGAAATTTTACGTTTTTAGCATTGTAAAATCATTTAGTATATTAAGTAAAAGTCACAACAAGTTACATGCATTTGCCTTAATCATAACGGATGAAACGTTAAAGCAGATTTTGAGACACCGCAACCAATGGGCCTGTTGCATGCAAGAGATACAGCCGCGCGAATAGACTTTTTAGAGGTTAAATGACACGAAAATTACGATGGTCACATTAAAAAGTCTGAAATACACTCCTTACTGCGCAATTTGCGTTGCTAGGAACGCGCTTTTTCAAATTTCCCGCGTCTGGGGGCAGTTTTCTAATCACCGGAAACGAGCAAACGGCGGGCTCGGTGATTTCCGAATGCCGAGTCGTTGTTGTTGTTGTTATTTTTTCCTTCAGTTTGTTTACAAATCCGACGTGATCTCTTACAGTGGTCCATATACGCTTTATGAGGTAACCAAATCGATTAACTTTTAAATATCCAACGCAATTCTTCTACATTTCATTTCACAATATCACGAGCTCCGATTTTTAGGTTATGTTGTCAGTTTTAGTTGACCGGAAATAGCCGCGAGTTTCCGTTAATTTTTTCCGTTAGAAAACTGCCCCCAGACGCGGGAAATTTGAAAAAGCGCGTTCCTAACAACGCAAATTGCGCAGTAAGGAGTGTATTTCAGACTTTTTAAATGTGACCATCGTAATTTTCGTGTCATTTAACCTCTAAAAAGTCTATTCGCGCGGCTGTATCTCTTGCATGCAACAGGCCCATTACACCCAACCTTTTCTGCACCTAGCGCTTCGATGCCTTAAAGTTTTCAAAAGGATCCGCACAAAAGTTCTCCTGAAAAAAATTAAATTGCCTGGATAAATTTGGCAGTGGCTGATGTGGCTTAGTTCCTTTCTGTTATGCGCGGTCCCGTTTCGGATCGAGTTACGTTGTTTTTCCTTTGAGCGGCAGAGAAGGACAAAAAATCACCAGAGTCCAAAACTCTCCCCAGGTCAAAATGTGGCACCACCCCTGGCAATTTCATTCATTACCGCCAACGATTTTCCCCGCCGCACCGAGGCGTGAATACATCATGAGCCGCGGTCCGGCCTTCGCCGGGGGCAATTTCCCCCGACGCCCCGGCGAATAAAATTTGTACGGAGCTGTCGCAACCCCCACCCCCTCTCCCTCCCCCCTTCCCTCCCTCCCCCCTTCCGCCACTCCACCCTCGCCGAGGTCGCGGTCAGCGCCAGGCACGAACTTTTCGGTGCCGTGGTGTGAGAGCGCAGCANGGTGGTGGTGAGGGGGGGGGGTGCTTTTAATCGAGCGGTTCCATTACCGCGATGCCATGACCAGACCTCGGCTGTGATTGGTCAACGGGGCTCTGGTTTTAATTAATTAAGCCCCGGCCTCGGGGCGTCTGAGTCAGAAGTCGGGATCCCCGGAGCCAGGGGGTTGAAGGGTCACAGGGGTGGACCTGCCGCTCGGATCAAAGGAGAGCCGGCGTCGCGGAAGTCCTTCGCTCGGTGGGTAGGGGTGGCTTTCGAGGGCAGGGTCCAGAGACAGAATACAGAATGGCTCGAGATGGAGTCCCTTGATGGGGAGAAAAGTCGACTCGTGAATGTCACAAACGGCAAGGCAGATTTCACAGTTTGAACGATTTTTGTAAGCTCGTCACGCTCCGGCCAAAGTATCGCATGCGCCATGCGACGTTTCAAAATTTGCGCCGCCATTTGATTTTTTTACAGAGAAATTGTCCGACGCAGCTGTCTGAAAATTTCTTAGAAGTTTCTTTGTGATGCCGAAATTTTCGAACAGCTTTAACCAACAATTTCTCTGTAAAAAAATAAAATCGCCGCGGAAATGTTGAAACTTCGCATAGCGCTTATATTTTGGCCACAAGGTGACGATCTGTGTTCAACTCGTTCGGCTATTATCGAGTAAGATGAGTTAGTTAGTTAGTTAGTTAGTTAGTTAGTTAGTTAGTTAGTTAGTTAGTTAGTTAGTTAGTTAGTATATTTTAAGACATTCCAGCGCCACAGGCTATTAACGTCTTTAAAGAGAATTTTGAAAATGGGCAAAGTATTTTACCGTATCAATGTGCATATATTTTCAAAATGTGTTAAGAACAAATCTTATGGCAGATTTCTGATTGTACGTGTGATTGTTCAATTTTAATTTTGTATTTTTTACATGTGTTTCAGGCATAAAACAACGTCTCGACTGGCATTGGAGTTTAAATGAAGGTGTTGAATAAGGTATGCTGGTTTTCAAATAGAGTTTTCAACTCGGTTTGTCAGCTTCTACGTGTGTTTCGAATATGTTAGCAAGTCACTCATGACTGCCAAGGAAACTATTTCAGGCTCTATAGATTCTTATAGAGTAACTAACACAATATACAGCCTTCTGGATAGATGTACGCAAATTCTCCTGGATTTTGGTATCTGCAAACTACGTTAAACATAATGAAAGGTCAAATTAAAATTGTCATATTTTCGTCGATAAAATGTTTATTTCGGAAGAAATATAACATATTTATCCTTGAAATTTTCAGATATTTTAGATTGAACTGCGAAAGATATTTCCTGAAAAATTGGAAGAAATATATTCTGAACTTTGTCAATAAATTCGTATTTTATCAAAGGAGCCTTGGCAACGCCTGAAAGCTCATACGGCGTACTTCCTCAGCACATGTTTTAGGAAAATTTTTGGATATGTGTCCTCCGATTTTTTAGGGAATTTTCCTTGTAATTAAAGTGTCTAAAAATTTCAAGGTAAAATATTCAGAGCTTTTTTTTTTTAAAAATAAATATTTTCTGAAAGGAAATTTTGGCAACATTCAAATGCTGATACAGCGTCTTCCCTAGCACGGCAATATACAACTCTTGAGTATTCGGAAATCATTTCGCAATTTTCAACTACACTTTCTGGCTCATTTGTAAAAGGTACTTGGACCGAGTTTAACAGATTGAAACCAACCCAAAGTTGAAACTGAGAAAAAGAGGTTTGAAGTTTTATTCCTCCACGAGGCTCGCTCGATGTGTAGGATACAAACTTTAACCCCTCTTAACACAGACTATTTTTTTTTCTCGACTTTGAGTTTTTGGCGGGGAATCTATATGACTAATGGAACTCAAAAATATTTTTTACTCAATTTTTTCGAAAATGTAGGTTGGTTCCTCTCTGATGAACTCGGTCCACTTATATACATAGGGAAACTAATCTGCCGTGCTAAGGAAAAACGCCGTATGAACCTTTAGACGTTGTCAGATGTTCTTTAATAAAAACTGAAGTTATCGGGCGAATGGAGATGTTGCATGTGAGAGGAATTCGTGATTTGACCATTGATTCTTATGTAGAAGTTCGCGAGAAACACGATGGTGCCACTGGTTTTCTCTGAAATCATCTCCCAAGTTCAAAAAAAGCTCTCAAAGTGAGGCCAAAATGGAGGGGATATCCCACCCTACCCTGAGAGTCCACCTCTACATCATAACAAACTCTCCATGCATAGATAGGGGGCAAATACATCAGCAGGGCTGCCGTGTTTTCAGTTTTGGAGTCCCTACATAAAGTGGCAACCCTGTCAATGTATTTGCTTCCTATCTTTGCATAGAAAGTTTGTTTTGATGTAGAGGTGGACTGTCAGGATAGCGTGGGATATCCCCTCCATTTTGGCCTCAACTTGAGAGTTTTTTTTGAGCTTGGGAGTTGATTTCAGAGAAAACCAGTGGCACCATCGTGTTTTTCGCGAACTTTTACATAAGAATCAACAGTCAAATCGCAAATCCCTCACACATGCAACATCTCCATTTTGAGTTCTTCTTCTCGAATATTACAGATAATATTGTTCGCGATTTAATCTAACAGATCTGAAAATTTCAAGGAAAAATATGCATAGCATTCCTCAAAAATTCATGTTTTATCTAGGAAAATTTGGCAACTCCCGAATGTTCATACGGCGTTTTTACTTAGCACGGCAGTAATAATAAGTATGTTGTTTCTGAACTGAGCCAGAAATCGTAGCTCCGAATTGGAAAATGTCGCGTCCATTTGAACTTTGGCTCGGTGGCTCCACTGTGCGCCGCAGTTGGTTTCACTTCCTAGTTCCGAGTCGGGATTCGCCGAGGGCCTTTGTGTTCCTCGGCCGCCACCGCCCTCCTCCCACCGATGCACCCTTTGCAGTTGCACCCTTTGCGCCCTGCCCGACGCGGAACCCATTGCCATTACACACCGCGGCGCTGGCCACCCCCTGCAGTTGCCCACCCTTTCACCCTCGTCCGCCCGGCGGTCGTCGGCGGTGGACATATTTCCTCTCGGCCGAGGCTGCTCATTTAGCTGCAAACTCATTCCCATTGCCAGGAATGTATTCAACATGGCCGGCCTGTACGCTTAGAGATGCCGCTGTGCTAAGGAAGAACGCCGTATGAGCCTTCGGGCGTTGCCAAGTTTCCTCCGATAGAAACCGAATTTACTGGGAAAATTGTGAATATTATTATCCGAAATTTTCAGACAATTTTGTGCGCGATTTAATTTAAAATATCTGAAAACTTCCAGGAAAAATATGCATGAATGTCGTCAATAATAGATGTTTTATCGAGGGAAATATGGCAACTCTCGAAGGTTCATACGGCGTTCTTCCTCAGCACGGCAGTATGTATCTAAGAACTCTCTTAAGGTTCTTTTTCAATGGAGAATTTGCGAGGAAAAATCAGTGGCGTGGCGTGCTTTGCTATATATCGATTGTTATGCCATTTAAACCTATGGAAAAGGTTCGATAAACAGGGTGTTCGCAGCGAACACCTTAATAATCGATTCTTTACCACAGGTTTAAATGGAATAACAATCGATATATCGCAAGGCACACCACGCCACTGGAAAAAATGTTACCGCTGCATCTGAGAGTGCAGAATGAGCTGCGTTTAAAGTATTTTTCATGATTTTTCCCTGCGTTTTGAAACATTTTAGAAAAATAGATTTAAAAGTAAGAATAACTGTCACCTTGTGACATCATCAAACGGCATTTCCCATTTTTTGGAACAAATTTAATTTAAGTACAATGTAACGACACCGAAAAAAAAGGATTCTGATTTAACATTCTGGATGTAAAAAAGTGTGCGGCAACATCATAAAACGCTGAATTACCCGCCTCAGCAGTAAGTTTTACATCTTGACATTGCTAAAGTAACTGATGTAGTAAAGATGATGTAAAGTAACTAAAGTAAGTGTTTTGTGAGTTGTCGCACACTTTTTACATCCAGAACGTTAAATTTGCATCCTTTCTTTTTTCGATGTACTACAAGAATATTTCTTGTATCCGTCTACATGCTTTAAAAGCGAACTAACTTACTAAAACTAATGACTAACTTCCATTAAATGTACAGAATAACGTTGGATAATAAAAACATTATCTGAAAAACAGAAATTATAAAATTCTCTGTTTTATTTTTTTTTTAGAAATATTAAAACATCTGAGTTTTTAGTTTAATCACTTAACATTCGTCCTTTCGAACTGCATACACACTCTCATTTATACCTTACAGATTTCCACTATTTCCCCATTAAACACATCTCTGTTTCAGCAGATTAGGTCATTTGATCTGATCCTCTGTAGTTATACTTATTTAAGAAACCAAAGACATTTTTATGCTCAATTCAGTCAGTGTTTCCTCTTTAACATACAACTCATGGACTCTCAAACCCCTGCAAATTCTTCATTGTCATATTTTTACGCTTGAAATCTCGCACGTGCTCACCGCGAGCAAAATTTGAAAATAATGCCCAACTGTACTAGGACCAGTAAGGAAAAGTGACCGATAAATAAAGCACCATTACGAATAAGAAAAACGGAGCTGATACAATATGGAAATAGAGCGAGGAAAAGAATGCGCGTTGATGACGGCGCAGAGATACAACTATTCGTACTCGATGGATGTCCGTGTGGTATCAGCAAAGTTGAAGGCGCGATGGCGCGAGGCGTGCGCTCGCAATTCTCCGCTCTATGCTGTCAATGAGGTGTATTTTAAATTCGGGAGAAGAGTTGAAAATGTACAATTAGCATCCTTATGCACATACGTGTGTTTACCGATGAGTAGAAATTGTAGTTCCGAATGTCAAAATGTTGTTCATCCAACGTTTCATAAAGTTCAACGCATTTTCCGGACAAATCAGAAAAACTTGCGTTAATCTCTCAAAATTATGCGAAATCAACAAAAAATTGTCTATGGAAGTTGATGAAGTTTCACGAAATAAAAATCCGAAATTTTATGACTAATCGTCGCAACTTTTAAGGAGTTAAAAATGCCCAAAAAATAGCTTGTGATACTCTCAGAAATTACGCCTAATTTAAAAAAAAGGGTATGTGAAAATTTTATGGAGGTTGACAAACTAATGATCCAAAATTTTATGATAAATCGCCGCGAGTTTTGAAGGGTTCGAAATGGCCACAAAACAGCTAATAAATCTCTCAAAAATTATGTAAAATTTAGAAAAAAGACCCATGAAAATTTGTTAAGCATTGATGAAATAATGCTCCAAAATTTATGACTAATCACCGTGAGTTTTGAAAGGTTCGAAAAGGCCAAAAGCATTCTGTGAAATTATACAGGAACTTAATTTAATGACAGAATTCACATGAGTAAAGAGGACGACAGATTTAATGAGCACGAGGACGAGTGCCACTGAGATAGGGTATTGAAATCCGACGGATACACGGTCTCTTTCCAACTTGGGAGTCAAAATAAAAGAGGGGCGAGGGTGAAAAAAAAAGGAAAAAAAAAGAGTGGAGAGATGAAACTGTTATTCGCCTCTCATATTGCTCTTGCCTCTCCGCTGAGAGTCCGCGGAAAATATGTAATCGAACAAATGTCCCAATTCTCGTTGAAATCTATCTTTTCTGACATCTTGTTAACATCTCTTGGAGTGGGACCCCGGTCGGCGGGTTGCCATCCTGCGACATGAAAACCTTCGGGAAATTCGTAGAGCGACCGGGGGAACTCATAAAGATATAGTGCATTTCCCCTGGAAAATATTCGAAGAACATTTCGATGACCAAATGGAAAAAACTACGTTTCTTTATATTCTTAATCGCGGTATTTCAAAATTTCCAGAGCATCATAATTTGTTCGAGAAAGCACAGTCCAACTTAAGTGCCGGAAATTCATACAGAATTTTCTGCACACTACGTTGACAAGATTTTCAAAGAAAAACAGAGTATGACAGGAAGCTTGCAACGTCGCAAACGGAGATACATGGTTTCGCA